ATTGAGTATAAGGCGCTTTGGGCTATCAAGCTTCTGAACTTGGACATTGATGCAGCCCAGGCAAAGAGAGTTCTTGACATCCATGAACTTGAGGAAATCAGACTTGATACCTTCGAGAGTTCCAAAATCTATAAGGAGAGAACCAAGGCTTTTCATGATAAGAAGATTGTCGTTAAAGAGCTTATGGCTGGAGATCACGTCTTGCTGTTTAATTCCAGACTTAAGCTGTTTCCTGGAAAGCTCAAGTATAGATGGTCTGTACCGTTTGAAATCAAGGATGTTTTGCCATTCGGTGCGATCACTCTCCTGAACAAGGATAGCAGCGAGTTCACTGTGAACGGTCAACGTGTCAAGCGTTACCTAGCTGATCAAGAGACACAAGAGGGGTCCTCCATACCTCTCTATGAGCCTCCCAGAGCCTAAAAAGCATAAAAGTCAAGCTTAGTGACTTTAAACAAGTTCACTTGTGAGAAAGTCCCAAAGGTATCCCTGTACATATCGCTTAGGATTTTTTGTGTTTTTAATTTTTGTTTTTGATTTATTGATGATCAGGATTACATGTTAAGAGAGTTTGGACATGCATATCAGAACAGTTAAAGGAGAGTGTGATGGCGGATGTCGAATCAATGATGATAGAGAAAAAAAAATATTGGGGTTGTAACTTCAAGGGGAGTTAAAAAAAAAAAAAAAAAATAAAAAAAAGAAAGAAAAATAGCATTTACTCGATCCCCTCATCCCCAACACCCATTTACCCATTCATTTTCTTATCCTCTCAATTATTCTCCCATCTCTCTTTACACCCACACAACATCCATCCTTCTTATCCTCACCACACACTCGATTTCCATCATCTACAATCACTCCATCACTCGATCCTCGACCTCAACAAAGCTTACTCGACCGCCGTCACCACTCGTGCTCACCATTGCTTCACTCGACGCAGTTTCAGGTCTCCGTCATCATCGCTCGACCCGACAAGTCGCTCCAGCCACCATCCCGTTCCTCGCCACTCGACTGAACTCAACGGGTTTCGCAACCTTCTCCCTCGACGTGAACCGCTCGAGTAACTCAAACCTCGTTGTTTACTTGGCGCGTGTTGCTCACTCGACCGACTTGAAAAGCCTCACTCGACCGGCGCATCATTACTCGACTTGTCTTCACCGGATTCTCGAAGGAGTCACTCGACGGGAGCCACTCGACCGTCGTCACCTTCTCACTCGAGTAACCTCATCTTCTCACTCGACCGCCGTCACCGCTCTCATTCGATCGGGACTCAATTCACTCGACCGTGTACCTACTCACTCGAGCTGCTCTCCCAACCAACAAGAACTCGACCCACTTTGTCTTCACCGGAGCTACTCGACCAAATCACTTCACCCGACGGACTCAACTCGATGAGCCTCGAATTCACCGGATTCGCGTAGCAGTGGAGCCACTCGACCATTGCCAATTACTCGACTCACTCTCCCACAGAAAAGTCTCGCTTGGACTCTATTCACGCGATTCCCACTCTCAGCCGCACTTCCACTCGGTTGAAGCTCCCAACATTTTCATCTCCTTCGCGCCTCACTCGACCGGCGGCTCTTCACTACCACTCGCTGTGCACTCACTCGACCTACACTCACAACAGGTTCACTCGACCGTGCACTCATTTCCTCACTCGACCGAAAGTGATAAGCGTTTGTATCTCCACTCATTTCTTTTGCATTTGCTCATTTTTCTTAGCTTTTGGAACACTAACAAACTAATTTTTAGTTTTGAGTTCCAATTGTTTCAGTTTCACAATGTCAAGAGATTTGTTGCATGAAATGCGTGAGAAGTATGGTTGTAAACCAACAGAGCGTGCATCTCCTCAGTCTATATCTAAGGTTTATATGGAGAAGAAGAAAGCTGCATATGAGAGAGCGTCTGGTGTTGGTCCTTCTCAGGCAAGAAGCAGAGCTAAATCTTCGGGTAATAAACCAATGGAGCTGCAGGATGATAACAGTGATTATGAGCTTGAAGAGCATCCACCTGTCCCAGCTCGCAAGTCAGTGCAGAAGAAGAAGACAGAGAAGTGGTTAGGCCCGGGAGAGTATTACAAGCTGTTTCAGCAGCATGAGTTTCAGGGCACGAGGTATCCTTGCCAGCAGACGATGGATGAGCTGGCTATCTCGAGTGATGTCGAGTATATGTTCGAGCATTGTCATCTCAGCACACTCATGACTAGTCCGCGAAATGCATACCGAGAGGAGAAAATTCAGTTCCTCTGTACGCTTGCCATTCATCTTTATGAGAATGATCCGGACATAGAGTCGGATGGAGAATTGGGATACATCAACTTCACCATCCATGATCATGAGTATCTTCTGACCATCAGAGAGCTGGAAGGTTTGTTTGGATTCCCTAATGGAACAGGGACTGGGCAGAGGATTGATAGGGATGAATTGTTGGCTCTTTGGGAAACGATTGGGAATGATAAGAAGTTCGCTTCATCTAGGACCAAGAGCAACCACATCAGAAGTCCAGTTATCCGCTACTTTCATCGATCAGTTGCAAACGTGTTCTTCGCGAGGGAGACAACAGGGACACTGATCAATGGGGAGCTGGAGATGATTGATCTTGCACTTAAAGATCTCTTGTTAACAGCAGTAGATGGGACACTATTGCGAGGTGATGCAACTGATACATCCCCCTCGTTCACTCTGTTGCACCAGCTACTCAGTTACAGAACTTGGGTAGTGAAGCTGAGCAGCTGCAGAACTCAATGAGTTATGTGTATGGGCGGATTGGTGACAGTCATCTTGGAAGCTTGTAGCGTCCCGCTGAGTTCAGAGCCTATTGCACCGAGATTCATCGACATTCAGAACTTGAGGCAAGCTCAATGGTTGCATTGGGAAAAACGCAACGGGTTGTATATGTATTACTTCACTCACCCCGTACATGGTGACGTGCGATTTTTGCTTTCTTGTATCGCTTTCACTAGGATACTCGAAGGAAGGAACATTGAGTTTACTCCCCCTGCAGAGGCTCTCTACACGACAGATGGTGAGGAAGCGATGGATGTATCTGAGAAAGAGGATGATGAGATGGAAGAAGATTCAGATGAGTATAGACCAGAGAGGTATCACTTCCAGTACTACACAGCGCCTAGACAAGGCAAGAGTTTGGTGGAAGCTCACAAGCGTATCAGTACACTTCAGAAGTGGAACATGCTGCAAGACAAGGCAATAAAATCTATGAAGTCGAAGATGAAGAGCTTCATGAGCAAGTTTAGCTGCGCCTCCACCACCACAGCTTTTGCAGACACTACTCCGCAGGATGCTAGACCAGTGCAGCGTCGTTTGTCCACGAGTGATGTCCCAGCACGCTACAGAACTCCTTCTCCATCACGTCATTCCGCTTATGAGTATAGAGAACATAATGTTTCTTCTTCTCCTCTGAGACAGTCCTCCCCTGAGCTTAGGGCTAGCAAAAAGAAGGAGAAACGGAAAAAGAAGAAAGCAGCGAGACGGAAGGCAAAAGCCAGTTCATCACACTTGTCAGAGGAGCATCATGTTGAGGATCTGACCATGGATCAAGCTGAGGATCACATTGAGGACCTGACTGTTGATCCAGGTGCGTATCATTTCCAAGACCTCACTGCGGATCCTGTCGAGCAGAACGTTGAGCAACCAGCAGTGGCTCCTCCTGTCCCGCCTGCACCAGGTGCTTATACAAGCGAGTGCATGACTCAATACCTGGATTGCTATTTTCAGTAAGGTACCACTCCAAACCTTCATCTGTATATACCATTGCATTTTCATACTTTTGTTTGTTTGATTCTCAAACCAACTCTCAAATTTTTATTACACAAGAGACTGTGTAATTTAAGTTTGGAGGAGGGTTTGGGATGACATTTGATGTTGTGTTCTCTTTTATTATTTTGAATTTTTAGCATATAATTTTCATTCATATATGTGCATTGAAAACCCCTAAAAATTTGAAAAATTTTCAGAAAAAATCTTTAAAAACAGAGTGATCATGTAGCTTGCATTTGCATATTAGGATTGAGTCTAGATTGTTTCATGTAGGACTGTTGCATTAGCATAGGGGGCGATTAGCCCTGGGCATATAATCCGGATCCGACAAAACCGATCCGAACCGATCCGAAATATCCGATTTGGATCGGTTTCGGTTATTGTGTAAAAACCGATTGGATTTTATGTTGAGCATGATTCGGATTGCGGATTTAAACCGATCCGAACCGAAATCCGAACGGTTATCCACTAACCCGAATACACAGGGTCATGTTATCTCTGTGATTCTGTTTCTGTCCTTCAAAGTTCAAACGCCGAAACCTTTTCTTTTGTCTCGACTCTCACTTCTCGACAGAAAACTTTTGCCGACCTGCTCTCCTCTCAGTCTCTCACCTTTCAGCAGCGATTGCAATCCACTCTCAACCCTAGTTTCCTTTGCTTTATAATGCTTTCCAAACCCCCAATTGCCACACTGGAAACTTTCACCTCTCAGACGCTTCAAGGAGACTCTTCTCCACTGTCAATTGCTTCAAGGAATCACTCAGAGGTTATATCTGTTTATGGCTTCAAGTTTATAGTTTCTAGTTTATATTTACTCCTCTAGTCCTCTTTTAGATTTGTTTAGCTTTTTGAAGGTTAGATACTTAGATCAATTTACGGTTTGTAGTCTTTTTGCCAGAAAAATGTTAGATACTTATGTCTGTTTATGGCTTCAAGTTTATAGTTTCTAGTTTATATTTACTCCTCTTTTAGCTTTGTTTAGCTTTTCCCAAGGCTAGTTAGATACTTAGATCTGTTAACGGTTTGTAGTCTTTTTGCAAAAAAATGTCTTTTTTAATGGTGATAGTTCTGTTGATGCTATTATTGAATGTTTGTTCATGTTCTATGTTTGTATAACGTTATGATTTAGAGAAGATTTTGTTATTGATAAGTTTTTTCAGACAAGAAGTCCCATTAGCTCTAGCATAGTCTTTTAACATAGTGTGTGACTGTTTGCTGCAGATGGATTCTTCCTCACCTAAACCTGCAGATGATTTGAAAAAGGAAGACATTGAATTGGATGGAGAAGAAGTAGAGTCTCCTAAAGCTGGTCACAAAAAGAAGAAACAAGAAACTGGTTCAGTTCCAAAGGTTAAGCCAAAGATCAAGAAGAAATGTAGAGTAGTACCAAGGTCATGGGTATGGGATCATTTTACAAGACTCGCTGGAGTAAAAGATAGGTGTCGTTGCAATTATTGTACTAGAGAGATGGGTTGTGCGACAACTAATGGGACTTCTTATCTGAAAAATCATCTAAACATCTGCAAGGAATACAAGATATGGCAGGAATGCAGAAATCAGACTCAACAAGTTATAAATCCTACTAGTGATGGTGATGGTAGTGCTTGTTTGCAGCTGTCCAGAGTTAGTGAAGAGGTGTTTAGGGAAGCTACTAATGAGATGCTGGTTCTAGGTGAATTGCCACTTTCATTTATAGAAAGTTTGGCATGGAAACACTTTTGCAGTAAGGTTAAACTCTACAAACCCCACTCTCGAAGGACATCAACTAGGGACATTGTGGAGAAGTATGTGAAGAAGAAAGCAGAAATGATGAAGATTATTGCTGCTAATAAGCAAAGGATTTCTCTGACAACAGATATATGGGTTGCACCTACGACTGGAGCTAGCTACATGGTCATCACAGGACATTTTGTGGATGCAAATTGGCGCCTAAAGAAGATGATTATTGGTTTCAAGCACGTGCTTGACCATACAGGAGAAACAATAAATTCTGTGCTTCTTGATTGTTTGCCAGAATGGGGAATAAGAAAGATCTTTACAATCACTGTTGATAATGCCACTGCCAACACCAATGCTATGAAGAAGTTTAAGGAGGCATTTAGCTTAGTAGGACATGATGCACTAGTTTTAGGTGGACAGTTCATGCATTTGCGTTGTTGTGCTCATATCATTAATTTGGTAGTCAAGGATGGTTTACGGGATCTTAATAAGAGTGTGGAAGCCATTCGAACTGCTGTGCAGTATGTGAGAGGTTCAAGTAAAAGAGTCCATGCATTTGAGCTGAAGGTAGAAAGTGGAAAGATGACAAGGGGAAGCTTATCATTGGACTGTCAAACAAGATGGAATTCAACTTTTCTGATGTTAACAAGAGCTTTGAAATTCAGGTCAGCCTTTGATAGAATGGAGGCTGAAGATAAGCTATATAATGATTATTTCTCTGAAAGCATTGATGGAATCAAGAGGACTGGACCGCCAACTAAGCATGACTGGGATGAAATAGAAAGGTTAGTAAGGTTTTTAGTCATCTTCTACAACTCCACCTTAGTGGTTTCAGCTTCATCAAATGTCTGCTCTTATAAATGTTACAATGAGATTGTAACTATAGAGAGGAACTTAGCATTGAGCACTAATTCTGATGAGAAGCTCAGGTCAAAAGCAAATGCTATGAGAGAGAAGTTCAATAAGTATTGGGGTGGATTGCAGAAAATAAATAAGATGCTGATCATAGCTAGTGTGTTTGATCCGAGGAACAAAATGAAATTTGCTGGTCTTTGCTTTGATATGCTATATGGTAAAGATAGTGCAGAATCAATAGAGCTTAATAAATCAGTAAGTGATGTTTTGGGAAAGATGTTTGAAGAGTATTCTTCTCAGTCTCAGTCACAATCGGGTGCAACACCAGCTCAGAGTGGACAAGAGTCTCAATGTGATTTAAGCCAAAAAATGGATTTAGACAGTGATCTTGAATATCTTAGGATGGATACTATGTACAACGAGATGGTCAATGAGATAGGATTTCAAGATGCAAGTACTGAGTTGGAGTTATATCTTAAGGAGAAAGTGGAATGTCCAAAGACTAACCAGCTTGGGATACAGTTTGATGTTTTGGGCTGGTGGAGGATCAACACTCCTAAGTATCCTGTTTTGGCCTTAATAGCGAAGGATGTACTTGCTATGCAAGTGTCCTCTGTTGCCTCAGAATCTGCCTTTAGCAACAGTAACCGCATCTTAGACCCATCTAGGAGCTGCTTAACTCACTACATGCTTGAAGTTCTAATGTGCAGTGAGCAGTGGTTAAAGGGTGAAATTCAGTTGAATGAGAAAGGAGTGGTTACCACACAGCAAATGCTTGCTGAAATTGAATTGCAGGATAATCTTGAGAGAGGTAAGTTACTAACTTCTATAATCTGTTCATGATATCCTATTTTCAATTGTGCATTTGAGATATTGAGTACTTTGTATTCTTTTATCTTTTTCAGAGTTTGAGTCAATGCAAGTGAATGTATAAGTCTCTTCTTATCTGCTAAAGTAGACAAATAAAAGGTATGAATAAGTCTTAACTCTTGCCTTATGTTCTGTCTTGATAAACTTCTTACCTTTAGAGCCTTTTGAATCCATCTAAGAAGTGTTGAAGTTGAATCGCCTCTACTCTCTATCTTCTATAGCTTATTTTTTCTTGACTTTTTGTAATCATTTTACACAGGTCTTGGAGTTGGAAGTCTCACTGTTGGAGTGTTGGAGTCTTGGAGTTGGAAGTCTCCATCTGAGAAGTGTTGGAGTCTTGGAGTTGGAAGTCTCCTTGTTTTATCAAGTTTGGAACTTATTTCGTTGAATTGCTTTTCAGGTTTTCAGTCCTTCTCTTTGGAACTTATTTCACTATGAATATGGATTATGTTGCTTGTTTGCTTGACTTCTGGTTTTATGGTTTAAACTTTGAATTGGAAGTTTGGAACTTTTCTGTTGTTTGGTTTGGTTGTGTTGGAATTGAGATGTTTGGTTTTAAGTTGAGATTTTGACTTTTGAGTGAGTCTGAGATGTTAATTATGTCGGATTTTTTCGGATTTAGAAAGTAGGTTTCGGATTAACAGTGTAAAATCCGAAACCGAAACCGAAACAAATAGGATTCGGTTTCTTATCGGATGTTTTTTAAAATTTGAAAACCGATCCGAATCCGAAAAAATCCGACCCGATCCGATCCGAAAACCAGTCGGATTCAAAACGGTTTATAAACATCCCAATCCGAAACATCCGAACTCCGAATAATCCGAACCGATCTGATCCAAAAATCCGAATGCCCAGGGCTAGGGGCGATGATGAGTTACACCTTGTTGATTTACTATGATTCACCAGTTGAGATCAATGCCCTGGTTGTTAGCTTTTTGATGCATGATGATTGAACTTGAAGTAAGTCTGAAACAAACTTGGAATTCATGAAGAGCATTCTTGAACTTGGTTGAAACATGTTTTGATATGATCTCATTCCTTATCCTATAAGAACTTAATCTTGACTTGCAAATATCTGGTTGTGTTTTGCTTGCATGCTCATGGTCACCATATACATATTTGGATCATCTTCCTCCTTTCACCACTCTTGTTGATCCAAGTAGCTGATCTTTCTTTTGATCAGTTTGCCACACCCACAACCTATCCTTTTCTTTCACGCCAATTGATAATTTTTGAGTGGTAGGTCTTTTACCGGATTATGATTGGGGAGAACGTGTTAGGTATGAGCCGACAGGATTAAAATCTTGAGTAGTTCTGATTTTCACTTTCAAATCAGATAGGACTAGGTCGGGATTCTTACTTGGGTTTGGGATTGGAATGATTGTGGAAAGAAAGAAGAGAAACAGAAAAAGTTGTGTACTTAGGAGGAGAATGTTTTCTAGAAGTTTATAATCTAGTGATTGATTTGTGTGGGGTTAGCATGATATACAGAGAATGGTTCTGGGATGTTAAGAAAGAGAAAAAGTTTTGATGTCTTATAACGTAAGAAGAAAACAGAACCATAGTAATCCCCTATCCACTAGTATTGATAAGAAACTTCTCCTAAGGCAAAAAGCAAAAAGAAAAAAATGGGATTGATGTTGAAGGGTAGACATAGGGATCATACGGGTTTAGATGATTAGGAGTAAGCACTTGGGAACCATTGGGTAGTCAAGGTTTTATTCTTGTATGCATTTGTTGGTACTTACCTTTAGCATTCTCCCTAAAGCTCAATCCATTCATTGAGAGATCCTTGTCCTGAAATTGTTTAAACCCTCATGATTCTCAAAACCTTTTTCTGCCTAGCCAAGTGAGTTTGTTAAGCCTTGCACAAACAGATTCATATACTTGAGTAATGAATGTTAAAAGGAATGAATGATTTGAATGCATGTGTAGATCAAGGGATAGAATCAGTTTCGGATTTGATGAGTTTGTCTAAAGTCGTTAAGTAAAGTTCTCTCAGCATACATCAAAGACTTAGCAACCAGGACATTGATTTTAACTGCTCTATCTTGCAAGTTACAAGTTCTGAGACCCCATTTTCAAACCTCTCTTCCACTTTGTTTCTTTTTGCTTTGCTTGAGGGCAAGCAAAGACTA